TATATGGTGTGAGATTTTGGTCTATGCCTAGTTTCTGCCACACTCTTTTCCAGTTTTCCCATTAAAAATATGATTTCGAAGGGATCCATAGGCTTCACCAAACTGCCTGAGGGATTCAGGACCCCCCCCCCCAAAAAAAGGTTAGGAGCCCCTCATCTGAGCCTAATCTAGTTGAACTCATTTTTAAAGATGAAACTAAGGCCAATGAGGTTGAAGTAATCTACCTAATGATATGTGACATAGCAAATGTCAGAAGAGGAATTTTAACCTATGGCTTCTGACTCCAAAGTCAGCACTGTTTCCAAGTGAGGTCCTGCATATACTGAGACGACAACATGTATGTATTTAGATTTGTACATAACCTATATAAAAGAGATAAATGGGAGATGACCTTGGGGGGGAAGGCACTAGCTGTTGGGGGATGGGGGGTGGGGGAAGAGACACTTAATCTGAATTCTGAAGGAGGCCAGGGAAACAGACAGGCAGAAGGAGAAGGGGAAGGGAGAAGCAGGGAGGGAGAGGGAAAGAGAGAAAAAGAATGGAAAATGACATAATCAGACCAAGCTTTAGAAGAATCATTTTTGGCAGCTGTGTGAATGATGGACTGGAGTGGGAAAGAGTTTGAGACACCAGCTAAAAGGCCATTTTAATAGTCCAGGTGAGAGGAAGGAAGGAAATAAACATTAAGCACTTACTAGGTGCCAAGCATTATGCTAAATGATTTACAATTATGATCACATTCGATTCTTGAGGAAATGGAGACATACAGAGGTTAAGCGACTTGCCCAGAATCATACAGCTGGTAATTATCTAAGGTTAAATTTGAACTCAGGCCTTCCTAACTCCAGGTCCAATGCCCCACTGTGCTGTCTAACTGCCTTCTATCTACTCCAGGAGGTAGGTGCTATTATTATCCTCATTTTACTGATAAGGAAATTAAAGTTCTATGAGACTAAGAGACTGGACCATCCATAATAATAATAGTAGTAATAATAACTCACACTTATATAGTGCTTTGAAGACTGGAAAATGCTTTAAAAATATTATCTCATTTGATCCTCACAACAACCCTGAGAGTTTTTTGTTGTGGTTCAGTTTCAATTATGACCCCATTTGGGGGTTTTCTTGGCAGAGATATTGGAGTGATTTGCCATTACCTTCTCCAGTTCATTTTTGAGATAAGGAAACTGAGGCAAATGGGGTTAATTGACTTGCCCAGGGTCACACAACTATTGAGTATCTGAGGTTTTGGACACCATCCCATGATCAAGAACTCTGAAATTCCTCTATCTACCATATTCTCCTCTCATTCCATCTCTTATGGTGCCTCACTCCCCCTCCTAAACCCTGCCTTTGTCCTCATGATGTCTTCTCATCGCTGGATGCATCAGTACTCTTATTGGCCTTGGCCCAGTCTCTGACAGTTTCTTCCTTTAGCAGTATGGACCCCTTAACGAGTGAGTTGAACAACACACCGTCTTCTTTGCTTGCATCTCTTGCTCTCTGGTCCTTTCACCGCCCATGCCTTGCTGGACCCAAGCCCTGGATGACTCTCATAGCCAGCCTCCAACCCTCCCACTCACCTGCTGCTAAACAGAGCTGGAAGAAGTCAGGAAACAGTGGTGACTGGGTCCATTACAAGCCTTCACTGAAGAGAGATCTTTTGACTCCTCCCTAATAGACTGGCTACCCCACTCACTCCAACGGCTGTTCCAAACTGGTGAAATGTGGGCTTAAAGGAAGGAAGACCCAGGGTCAAATCCTGCCTCCGACACTTACTAGCTCTAAGTTCCTGAGCAAGTCACTACCTGTTTGCCTCAGTTTCTTCACCTCTAAGATGAGGTGACTGGACTCTATGATTTCCAAGGTCCCTTTCATCTCTAGATCTAAGATCCTATAATTCTCTCCTCAAATCTTTAAGTCCACCCCCTCCCCATACACCTTCATCCTTTCATCCGAGGCCATTTATATAAGGCGTCCCAACAGTCTTAGGGTAGTTTTAAGTTACTAAAACTTTTGGAACACGTTGTATAGCACTTCAAGGTTTACAAAGCACTTTACAAACGTCTCCCCGCCTGCTGCAACCCAGGTGGACGCTTGGTGAGCCTGACTTCAGAGCATGCACGGGTACTCCGTGGCCGACGTCTGTCACCTCGCTGAGCGAGGATGGAAAGAAAGGCTCTTCGTTGGCTGCTGAGCTGAACGCGTATCCAAAAGACACTCAGGGCTCAGTCTCTCGCTTTCCTTCCTTCTTTTTTTTTTTTTTTTGCTTTCCTTCTTACTGGCCAAGATTTGTAAACACACGTCTGTCTCCGAGCTCTGGAGCGCCAGGTGCGGGGCCGGGCGCTGCCCCTCCTCGCACCTGGCCAGCCGTGAGCACGCGGGCAAGCCTGCGCCTGCGCCTGCGCCTGGGAAGGGGCTGCCCCTGTTTGCGCTTCTTTCCTTCCTTCTGCCTTTCGGGGCTTTGTAAGGGACTGGACTCCGTCTTTCTAGTAAGCCTCCCTCTGTAAGAGCTCAGTGGTATTAACTGGCTAGACAATACTGAGGCGCTAATCACGGGACACGATATCGGAAAGAACACGCCCGAAAGGGAGCTCCAGCATTAGAAAGACACCTCAGTCCTCCAGGGCACCCCTGGAACCCTGGGGTGAAGCTGCAGCTATCCTCTGGGGCCCAACTTGTCCGTGGAATAGGAGTTGGGGTGAGGACACTCATCATCTGTACCGTGGGTGCGTAGCAGACTCGGCCACGCTCGGAGGATCTCCAGCCTACAACTTCCACTCTAGGCTTTTAGTCCTCCAAAACTCGTTGACCCAGGGAGGGCTCGCTCTCGGGACTCCCCGCCCCCTCGGCCAACTCCAAGATGCTCGGGGAATCTTAGAGTGCGGAAGAAACGCGAACCACGGCGTAGGCCCAAAGATCTATCACCCCGTGGGCCCCTGGCGTAATTTCCGGCTTCCCGTTTATTCGGTATGGGGTGGTAATTCCGAACAAAGTTGTAGAGGCGGGGGGGGGGGGGGGGAGGAGCCAGGTGAGACTTGGGCCCAGTCAGATCTTAGCCCCGCTCCCTTTCCCCAATGGCTTGAGGCATAGGCTGGGGGAGTCGCCGAAATGACAAGGCTATTGACAGCGATTTCCACCAATCGGCTCTCATCCACGCTCCTCGTTGCCACCAATGAACATAAGGCGTAGGAGAGCTGTAAAAGAAGGTGGGGGCGGGAGGCGGGAACAGAAGATATCGAAAGGCATTGCACCCAAACAGCCCTAGCCGCCTTCCTCGTTAACCAATAAAGTGGAAGGGGCGGGAGGAGGCGGTCTATCAACGGGCGCTTTTCCCAATCAGGTCTCGCCCCCGGCTGTCCAATGAGCGTGGGCAGCGGAGGCCGGGGGCGGGTCAACCGGAGCAGCTGTCACGGGGCGCGCGGTCTGGAGGAGAAGGCGGCGGTGGCGGCAGCGGCGGCCCCGGGAGCGAGTGTCCTCCGGCCGGCCCGAGATGGTCCGGGGCGTCGCGGGCTGGGGCTGCTTCTGGCTGTGGTGCTCCACGTGCGTGCTGACCCACGGTGAGCCAGGCCTGGCCGGCGGCCGGGCGGGAACGGGCGCCAGATGTACCAAATGTGCTGGGGTGTGGGGTGCGGGAGAGAGGGGGGCAAACTGACCTCTGACCCCACTCGGAGACCTGGATCCCGGAGGGACCCGACGCTGGGGCTCAGTTTCCTCGTCTGTCACGTGCCAGGTCATTTCGGGGGGAGGGGGCAGATCCTGCCCCTGTCAAAGACTCCCGGGGACACCTCGGGCAGGTCCTGGGATCCTGGTCGGGGTCGGGCCCCTCACTGCCTGTCCGAATGCCCTTGGACAAGTAGTGCCCAGGCCCCGAGCCTCATTTCTGCTCCCCACTAAGACGAAGGGCTGGACTCGGTGACCTCCAAGCCCCTTCCAGCTCTGCATCTGTAACTGTAAAGTCCCTTCCTCTGCCCGGGCCTCGGTTTCCCCCTCTGTAAAATGAGTGGGTTGGTCTCTGAAGCCCCTTTCAGCTCTACCATGTGACCCTGTAAAGTCGCTTCCTCCACCCAGGCCTCGGTTTCCTCATCTGCAAAATGAGTGGGTTGGTCTCTGAAGCCCCTTTCGGCTCTACCATGTGACCCTGTAAAGTCGCTTCCTCCACTCGGGCCTCGGTTTCCCTCTCTGTAAAATGAGTGGGTTGGATTAGGTCGATTCCAGCTCCTAAGACTAGGTTGTGGTCAGATGAGTTTGACATGGCAGTGGCCAGAGCCCTCGGTTCAAATTCTGCTTCTGACTCTTATTGCCTGAGTGACCTTGGGCACGTGGGGAATTTCCCGGCCAGTGAGGAGTTGGGACTCAGAGATCTCTTCAGTAGGCAGAGATTAGTGGGCTCAAATTCACTTCCAAAACACAACTTTCCAGCTGCTTGCTTCTTGCAGAGAAATCCAAGCTAGAAACTGGGGACTATGCCAAGTATGGACACGCCTGACCTGTTTGAGGGACCTCCCTTCTAGTCGGGGGAGGGGGGTGTAGAATACACCCCTGCGTCACCCCAGAAAGCGTGCTAAATGCAGGGGATGGGGGCGGACCGCGATCTCATTGGCGGAGGCAACTGCTAGGGGAGGAAACTCCCCTTCTCTCTGAAACTTAGAGTCTGGGAGAGTTGTTTGGGGACACTTGGCCAGGCAAGGTGGACACAGGTCACAGGACACGGCGCTCCTTCCCAACCCCCGCCTGCCCTCGGCAACCCCGGGCCCAGTGTGGGAGATGAGGCGGAGACCAGCCGGGAACAGGGAGCTCGCGTCAGGAAGGCCCCTGCAGGGGTCAGGGGGTGCTGATGAATGGCTCGAGTCCTCCCCCTCCCCTACCCCTCTCCTGAGAAAGGAAGCCTCCGCCCTAGATTACAAAGGCCCCTGCTGGGGACAGCTCCTCAGTCTCCTGCCCTACTTGCGGCTTCAGTGTACTTCCTCACCTGCACTTCTTAAACTCTATTCGCTCAGCTCAAGGATAAGCATCTCCTTCCAGAACTTCCCAGAGCTTCTCCTCTTCTTCTCCTCTGAATTTGTCTGAGTACCAGTTGCATCCCTAAGATAGAATGTAAGTCCCTAAAGGTGGATTGTGCTTGGAATCAGGAGGACCTCAAGTTCCAGCCCTTGTTGCTCAGTTCTGACCCTACCTGGGGCTTTCTTGGCAAAGACCATGGAGTGGTTTGCCATTGCCTTTTCCAGCTCATTTGACAGATGAGGAAACTGAAGTAAACAGGGTGAAGTGACTTGCCCAGGGTCACACAGCTAGTGAGTATCTGAGGCTGGATTTGAACTTGGGTCTTTCTGACACCAGGCCCAGCACTTTATCTACTGCACACACTTACTTACTAACCCTGGACAAGTCCCTTGACCTTTCTCTGCACTTGCTTCCTATAAAATGAGGGGATTAGACTCCATGCCCTCCAAGGTCCCTTTCCAACATTAGATCTATGATGAGGCAGGCATGAGTCTTCATTTTGTCTCTCTGTCCTCGCCCCCGGCACACAGTCTGGCACGAAGTTCTTGTTCAATCAGTTGGCTTGTTTGTTTTAGTAACACAGATAGGGAATGTCTATCTTGGCAACCTCAGGCAAATCCCTTCCTTGATCTCGGGCCATTTCCTCTTCTGGAAAATGAGGTGGAGTTGGGCTATCTGGTCTCCAAGGTCTTTTGGCTCGAGCATGCTAAAGATCTTTGGACTGGGTTCCCAGCCAGTGCCACACATCAGGCCCTCCCTCCCTCCCTCCCTCTGAGGTTCCCACAGGAATAGTGAGATGCCAGGCAATTGCATAACGTGACAGAGGATCCCTGCCGAAACCCAGGGCAATGGGTTTTCCCTGGCACCTCTGCCCTGGAATCCCTCTCGTACTCTGTTGTCAGGCCTCAAAACCCTGCATGGCGCGTGGCCCAGGGGCTCAAAATCGCCCTTCTGTCTTCCCCAAGGTTGGGGAGTCTCACTCCTCTCCCCCACTTAGGTCAGACTGCCCTAGTCCAGCGAAGAGGGACAGTGGATCAATTCCTCCATCTTCCACCCACATAGCCATAGGCCAGGCTGGGAATGGGAGAAGGTAGGATGCCACTCTTGTCATACTGCGTGTCTGTGGATTCCGTGGTGGTCCATCCTGTCTCCCATTGGCAGGTCTGCGTCCTCCCCATCGCATCAGGGACTCCTTCGGAGCTCAGGCCTGATGACATCCTTTCACCCTGAGCCGAGGGCTGGCTGGTCCCCCAGGCTCTCACCTCTCTGCCTCTCCATAGGTTTGCGCATCCATGAATATCTGTACTTCCAAGTGCTGAGCCCAGGGGACATTCGCTACATCTTCACTGTCACTCCTGCCAAGGATTTTGGGGGTGTCTTCGTAAGTGCAGGGCTAAGACAGGGAGCTTTGCTCCCTCTTCCTTCTGCCTGGGGGAATTAAGGATCACCTGCCCTTCTAATCCCCGTCAAGGGCTGGACCATCCCAGAGGACAGCCAGTGCTCCCTGAGGGCCTTGCACAGTGGAAGCAGGCAGGCCCTTCAGGGGGTGCACTGAGTCTAATGAAAACAGGAGACCCAGATTCTCCCATCCACTACGCTTAGGACTTGCTGTGTGATGTCACCCAAGTCATTTGCCCCCTTTTTGGTGCTAGTAAGCCCTGCCCTGGCTGCCTGTGAGGACGCAGCCCCTGGCTGCCCCCTTACTCCCCAGTTCTACCCTGGACTCTTTTCTGGGGAGCTCCACGACCTGACTTTGTGTTTTGCAGCACACGAGGTACGAGCAGATCCAGCTTGTCCCAGCTGACCCCCCGGAGGCCTGCGGACCACTCAACAACGGGTTTTTCATCCAGGACCAGATTGCCTTGGTGGAGCGGGGGTGAGGGCCTAGTCCGACCAGGGGTCTAGGGGCAGATGGGGCAGAAGGGGAGGGACGATGACAGGAAGCTTGTTGGAGGTGGCTGGTGGGACCTCTGGGGGATTTTATCAGCTTTGTTCAGGTTTCCAGGGTCATTCCCTTGGCATACGCTGGTTTTGAGGGCTTATCTGTGGGGTTTGGGGTTATCCACAGTAATAGTCATTCCCTTGACATCCACTTTTGGGTTTCTTTTTGGTACTGGGGCGGACCCGATTTGGTCCATTTTCTGGATTCTCCATGCCACGGAGCCCGCTACTCTTCCTGCCTCCTGATAGCCTCTTCTTGTTTCTGCCAGGGGCTGCTCCTTCCTCTCCAAGACGAGGGTGGTACAGGAACACGGGGGTCGAGCAGTGATCATCTCTGACAATGCAGCGGACAACGACAGCTTCTACGTGGAGATGATTCAGGACAGCAGCCGCCGCACAGCAGACATCCCGGCCCTCTTCCTGCTCGGCAGAGATGGGTGAGGGCTCCCAGAGGGAGGCATGGTCCCCGCTAACTGTCATGGGGGAGAGATGGCCTTCACTTCTGTGTCTTATGAAGGGTCTTTCATTCCCGGGCGGCCTGTCAGATGGGGGACAGCCAGGTGCAGCCTTCTCTTCCTTCTTCCCTCAGCTACATGATCAGACGCTCTCTTGAACAGCACGGTCTGCCTTGGGCCATCATCTCCATCCCTGTCAACGTCACCAGCATCCCCACCTTTGAACTGCTGCAGCCGCCTTGGACTTTTTGGTAGAAGAGATGCCAGGTCCCCCAGCCTTGAGACTCTGGCCTGGGGGGAAGGAGGCACCAAAACCCTGAGCTTTTGCCGTTTGAGGCTGTCCAACAATGGGGGAGGGAGCCATGTCTGACAGCTCCCATCTTTTGCCTTGGTGAAACAAATGTATGACCGACTTCCTTCCCTCCCTCCATGCCCTGTCCAAGGTCCCACACCTCTGGGGACAGTACCCTGAGATGCCTAGAGCTAGGCTGGTCACAGGCTGGGGCAAAGGGACCAGGGAGATGGGGGTGAGAATGGTGCTGTTCTCTGTGGGAGGGGCAAAGGGGAAACCCCCTTCCCTTGCCCCCTGGGCAGCCACTGCTGTTAGCACAATAAAGTCTTCCTAGATTTTTAGTGACGATGTCAGTTATCTGCCTGTCAGAATCGTCCAGGGCCCCTGGGGCTCCAGTCTGACCTCCTGAACTAGAGAAGGAAACACACACCAAGAGGGAAAGGGATGTGCCCAAGGTGCCCAGGCTCATTGGGTGGCAGCCAGGGCCCTCCATCAGGTGCAGGAGGCAGGAGCATCCCCAGCTAAGCAGGGGCTCAGCACCTGGGCTCCATGAACTTGTTTAAAAAACAAACCAAACATTTCCCTGTTATTTCCATATAATTGGCTTCTCCTGTACTAGATGCCTGTAAAAGCATTCCTCAGAGAAGGGCTCCCCATAGACTTTCTGGCCTGTGCCTGAGGGAGCCAAGACACAAACCATGAAAAGGACTCAAACTGGAGCCAGAAGAGCAGGCTTCAAACCCGGCCTTTGGCACAGACCTGAGGTTTGATCTGGAGCAAATGAGCTCCGGTCTGCCTTGGTGTCCTTATCTGGAAAAGAATTTCAGAGTTCACAAGTCACTGTGAAACTCTGAGACCCTCAGGGACAGGTTCTGCCCATCTCCGCGGTTTACAATGTCGGTTATTGGGGAGTGGGCAGCAAGTGATAAGAGCCTCTCCAGGATTAAACGGAATGCTCTGGGTCTTGTGATAGAAGTTTCCTACCCAGAGAGAAAGCCACTGGAGGAGGCCCGGGCTTGGCCAGAGGCTGGGAAGAGGGATGGCCGAAAGGTGTGTCAGGAGAGGACAGGGACTGGGAAAGAGCCAGGTCCTCACCCCCTCCCATGTGGGTGAAAATCACCTACACTGTGGTTGCCTTTTCTCTCCACTCACAAAGTTGTTGTCAGGTGCAAATGTGATCATGTACCACAGGCACTTTGCAAACCCCACAATGTTCTGTGAAAGGCTGCTCTGGTTCCTGCCACAGGCCCCCTGTCTCCAGGAAGAACCTCCAGGGAGAACAGCAAAAGGCCCCGAGTGCGGGCTGCAGGGCAAGGGAGCCCTCTGAGCAGCTGGGGGCCCACGTGAGGCCGGCAGACCGAGCCTGGAGACTTCGATCCGTACAGAGGGTCACGGTTTATTGAGAACACTGAACGGCTGGGTGGGATGATGGTCAGCATGGAGCGAGCACCAGACAGAACAGGGAAAGGGAAATGGAAGACATGTGACACATTCCCTCCTGGGGGGGGGCAGGGGACACAGAGAGGGGGGAGAGAGCGCAGCGCATCCTGTCACACAGCACAGCATGGAGTGATTCACACCTGGGACTGCCTGCCGACCTCTACGTGATGGGGCTGGGCCAGATGGTCCAGACCAATGAACAGCCCCCCAGGCCCAGTGGAGGGGTAGGCACCGATTATACCCCTGGAGAGGGTCAGATGCTTTATACTGGGGGAGGAGAAAGGCAGGTCAGCAGATGGCGAGCCCCCAGATGGAACCACCCTAGCCCTTGGCTGGCCACCACAGCCCTCCTCTGCCCCAGGAAGACTGCTCGGTTCCCTAGGTCCTCACTATTAACAAGCCTGCACAGCACCAGAGGTGGGAAGGAGAGGAGGAAAGAAGGAATGGCATTGCAAGAAAACCAGCTCCCCGAAACCCGGGATTGGAGGCCTGCAGCAGAGGTTATCAGTACGTATGGCCTTCAAATAGGAAGGGTGGGAGGCAGGCAAACAGGGGCTCCACCCCTCCCCAACAGGAGACCCACTTCTCCCCCTAAATGATCCCAGGCAAAGAGCAAACGCTCCACCCCCTGTGAGAGCCCCAAGCCCCCCAGCTGCCAGTTCCGACCATTCCAGGGAAAGGCTCACATCTCCCCCAGGCCCAGCAGGCTCCAACCACCACCCCTGCCCAGGCAGGGAAGAAAAGGCACAAGATGAGATTCTGAGGGCTTGGGGAAGGAGCGTCTAGGCCTGACTGTGGGGCTGAGGAGCCCCTAGACAGGGAGGGAGGCAAAACCAGACAGGGCCTAGAGGAAGAAGGCCCTGCTAGGCAGAATGGGCCTGCAGCCATCCCCCAAAGGGGCCAGCGGCTTCCTGAACCAACTAAAAGTGACCAGCCAAGGCTGGGGAGAGCCCCTGGAAGAGAGGGGAGGCCGAATGATGCTTCCTCAGTGGAGGCCCCACATTGACAGTGCCCAGTAACTCAGCTTTGAAACTTTGTTCCCAAAATAAATAAATCAATTAACAGGCTGGGGTAGGCAGGAGTTTCAAAAAACTGCAGCCAATCTTGGTGCCCCACTGGAATACTCTCACAGTGGGTGGGGCTCACTAGAGAGCCAGGAAGGGGGAGTGAGGCCTGCCCCCCGCCCCGACCCGGGCTGCCCCTCCACAGGTCCAAGGGCCCCAGTTTTCCACACCAGGCTCACGACGCCCCACGCCCTGGGCAGCCAGATTGGGAAGCAGGGAGGTCAGATGCTCCTCTCAGGATGGGGAATGAGGTCAGGGGGCAGCTCCCAAAGACCCCTTTCCTGCATGACGAGGTCAGGGTGAGGGTCAGGGTCGGGACATCAAACATCAGTCATCTCGTCCTCCAGCTCGGCGTCCTCTGGCTCACCCTCCTCCTCCTCTTCCTCCTCTTCTTCCTCAGAGGTCACACTGGGATCCTCAGCCTCGGCCAGGCATTTGGGGCAGGAGCAAACAAACAGGTAGTTCTCCCTGCAGAGCATGGAGCCGGGCACTCAGGGGCTGGGAGAGTCGGGCCCCCCCCTCCAGCTGCTCCCATCTCCCCCGGCCCCCCCCAGCTGCTCCCATCCCCCCGGCCCCCCCCAGCTGTCCCGCACCTCCTTCCCTTCCGGGGTACCTGAGAACCTTGTGCCGGCTGTGTCGGCTCCGCTCACGCTGGCAGCAGTCCAGGTAACTGATACAGATTTCCTAGGGGATGGGGGGGGGGTGGACAGAGAGACGAGGCCCTCTCCTCAGCCTACGGCCACATCCACCGTGACCCCCAGGGAGGGTGGACTGCAGACAGCCCGTGAGCCCCTCTAACTGCCCACCCCCCGAGTGCCAGCCAAGAACAAGAAGCCGGGGGGTGGGGAGAGCCAGGGAGCCAGGGCCCAGAGCGTTGGAGCTGCCGGTGAATCCAAGGCTTCCTTTGAGGGAGGCCCATGCAGGCGAAGGGACTTGGCCCAAGCCACCCACCCACGTGGGACGTGGCAGAGCCTGGGGCTGCCCTAGAAGAGGCCCGAGGAACGCGTCTGAGCTCTGTGAGATGGAAGGAGAGCAGGTGGAGCCACAGGGAGAGGAGGTGAGCAGCTCAGGGCCCAGACGGCCCAATAGGGACCCCGGCAGCCAGGGGCGCTGGCCACGCCCCCCGTTACCTCTCCAGGCTTGATGTCCTCGAGGGCCGTGACATGGAGAAGGAAGTTGTTTTCTGGGAAGGAGGTCTCTGCGTTGGGGACACAGCTGTGGTTGCCTGAGAAACAAGGGAGGTCAGGAGGATGGTCAGTAAGAAATAGAGAGGCGGCAGGTGCTGCCACCAGCTAAGGCCTCCCCTGGCTCCCTGGAGTCTCTGCAGAGGGCCACGCTTCCGGACACTTGTGGGATTCCAGGCTCAGAGCCAGCAGGGACCTATGAGCAATCCTCGTTTTACAGATGGGGAAGCTGAGGCCAAGGTCACACAGATGGTCAGGGAGATAACCAGCGTTCTTGCCATGGATAGAGTGTGGCCTCCTGAGGGCAGGAGCAGCCCCAGGGCCCAGCGTGGTGTCCAGGACACAGCAGGTGCTCGATAGAGGCTTCCTGGTTCACTGACACCGAAAACCCAGCCCAGAGGTTGAGCCCCTGATGTGGGAGAAGCGGATAGCATGCTCAAGGGCACGCACAGCTGGCACGGCCAGCCTGGGTCTCCACCTCCCCGTGCAGGCTCCCACAGTCCACACCACACCCTGACACAAGGGCTCAAGGAAAAAGACTCCCTTCCTCCCCTTGTGGGGGGCTCAGTTGTCCCAGGCACACCGTGGAGATCCGAAGCCCCTGGGGCCCTGCCCACCCCCCCCCCAAACGACTCACAGCAGCTCTGGAGCACGAAGAGCCCGGACCCTTCACAGTTGAGGAATTCGCCACTCACTGTAAGACAGACAGACAGGTGTGGCAGCAGGGGAGGCCTGGCTGGCACGACCTGGCCTAAGCCCACCTCCTCCATGAACCCCCTGCCTCCCACCCACCCGAGACCCTTTCCAGCCCAATGACAGACTTTGGCCCCTCACGTTCTGGGCAGATTTCCCATCCGGACATCTCGCTCTATGAGACAAGGAGCTGTCTGTGTGAGAGGGGAGGGGGCAAGCAAGCAGGCCCCACCCACCTCTCTCGATGTCCTTGTACAGCTGATCGATGAACGCATCCAGCTGCTCACGCTCCTGGGGCTTCAAGTCGAGGGCGTCACAACCATGGACCCACTGACTCAGGGAACTGGGGGACACGGAGCAAGCCAAGCATTGGTGGATGAGGGCCCCCCCCGCCTCAGAGCCCCCTCCCCGCAGCTGGCTCTGCGGCTGGGAGAGGCAGCAAAGGCCAACACTGAGAGGCGCAAAAACAGAATGAGACCCAAACCACGGGCCACAGGAACAGTCAGTTAGAAGAGAGCTGCCGGCGGGCAGGTCCCAACCTCAGTTTTCATCTGTCCTTGGTACTGGCTATTTCACCGTGGTTTGTGTTCACTGGCGCTCCAGCTCAGGGCACATCCACGCCCGTCTCCAGGGCAGTGTGGCCCCAGAAGGCACTCCAGACACAGCAGCTATTCAATCCAGATAGGACACCTCCCACTGTGCTTTGCTCCCCAACCCCAGCTCCAGCCCAAAACTCTGCCCACAGGACATGCTCAGTGGAGGCGGCTAACCAGCCTTCCACCTTCCACTGCTGCCTGGCCCCCCAGGCCCCCCACCAATGTCCTCATTACCTGGTCCCAATTCCTTGACCGTTTGTCCCAACAAGAGCAAAGAGAGACCGGAATCCATCTGGCGTAAACCACTGCACGTTAAACCCAGAGAGAAAGAGAAATCAGAAGAGATGCAGTCCTGGCCTGGCTTTGGCCTCACCTCAGCATGTCCCCCAGAAAGCAGCCCCTGGTCAATCGCTGCCCTCCCTCCCCACTGGGGTCCCTCACCCCACCACTCCTCAGTCCCCAGGCCGAGCCCTAGGCAAAAACCTCCTGCCCCTGGTTAATCCCTGCCCTCTGTCCCCACTGGGGTCCCTCACCCCACCATTCCTCAGTCCCCAGGCCAAGACCTACACTCTCCCCTGAACTCTAGGCACGAATCTCCTGCCCCTGGTTAATCGCTGCCCTCCCTCCCCACTGGGGTCCCTCACCCCACCACTCCTCAGTCCCCAGGCCGAGCCCTAGGCAAAAACCTCCTGCCCCTGGTTAATCCCTGCCCTCTGTCCCCACTGGGGTCCCTCACCCCACCACTCCTCGGTCCCCAGGCTGAACCCTACGCTCTCCCCTCAGCTCCAGGCACACATCTCCAGCTGTCCCTGGGAGACATCTCTATGTGGCTAAGGCAGAACTCTGCATCTTCCCTGTTACTTGCGGGGCCATACGGTAACTGAGAAAGCCACACGCCACATTGTATTTTTATTTCGTTAAACTTTTCCTGATACTTTAATCTGGTTTGACACCTGAAGGGCTCATCGCCTCCCCATCCTCAGGATCACCTTCATCTACACACAGTCAATTCATCCCTGCATGACTGTGCCAGCCTCCAGCACCTCCTGGGCCAAGCCATCAATGCCAAAGTGATTTTTACAAAGGAAGGTTCTGACCAAGACATCCTCTCTACTCAGTGAACCCCAGGAGCTCTTTATCATCTCCAGGATCAAATATAAAATCCTGCTTGGCTTCTGAAGCCCCCCATTAGCTAGCTAGCCCCTTCCTCCTTGTCCAGCCTTCTTTCCTTACTCCGTCCCATGGATTCCCACGGCCCCCTGGCTGTTTCTCCAACCTAACGTGGCGCCATTACATTGCCTGCACCCTCTCCTCTGCCTCTTGGTCTCCCTGGCTCAAATCCCACCTTCTGCAGGAGGCCTGGTCCTGGCCCTCCCACAGCTGCCAATGCCTTCCCCTCTGACTGCCTTCCTTCTACTCTACACGTATCTTGTTTTACCCGGGTACCTGCTGTTTCCCCCCTTACGTGGGAGTTCCTGGGAGAGGGCACTATATTTGCCTTTCTTTGTTTCTCCAGCACTTACATGGTGCCTGGCATGCAATGGGCACTCAATAAATGCTCACTAAGTATCATCCACTATTGTCCTACACCTTGAATGCAGACAGGCTGGGGAGTCTCAGAGTTCAGAGTCCGCTGAAGACGGTCAAGGCAGGCAGGAATGGCCGGGGAGGTCAGTCTAGCCTTGGTTTTGGCTCAAGCAGGGAGGCCAAAAGCCCCCACCAGACTTACGCAGCTGACCTCTGATCCTGAATCCCTCCTCGACACATGGTAGATGCCCAAGGAATGCCAGGACGGGACAAGCTCCCAGCAAAGGATTATTTCCAGATCCTATACCACCCCAGTTTCAAGAGACTCCAAGAGTCAGGCTGACCTCAGCCCACTCCCCAAATCAAGAGCCCCCAGGGAAGATGTGGGTAACCAGGAGGCGCAGTGGATAGAGCTTGAGCCCATCCCGAGTTTAAATCCGGGCTCAGACACTTACAAGTCACTTAACCCTCTCTGCCTCAGTTTCCTCATCTATAAAGTGAGCTGGAGAAGCAAATGGCCAACCACTCCAGTATCTTTGCCAAGAAATCCCCAAATGGGGTCAGGAGAGTCAGACATGACTGGCACAACTCCCCAGCACCCATGACAGGGAGGAGGGCTCTGTGCCCGGCTCACCCGACTGAGCTGTTCTTCATACAGAGCCTCGGTGAAGAGCCGTCTCAGAAGCTCCAGCTGGCCCTGATGGGGTAGGAGGCAGCAGAGATGAGAAAGCTCCCAGGGATCCCTAGGCCCAGGACGGTCTCCTGGGCGCTGCGGGGAGGCCGTGGGGGGACCTCGGCAGGCCACTTCTCCCTGCTCCCCTCTACTACCCCCCAACTCTCACTTAAGAATAACTACCCCCCAGTTTCTGAGCCACTCTAAGAGGTCTGCACCAAACCACTGAGGACCCCAGCTACAGAGCCAGGTGGAGCCTTCGAGGGCATCCAGACCAAGCCCCTCGCTTTACAGGGGAGAAAAGAGGCCCAGGGAAGCGACCACAGGCACAGCCAGGAGGCCTGGAGAGGGCAGGGCCCTGAGGGCCCTTTAGGGGCATCCTGATCAGCCTGCCAGGCCAGAAGCTCCCTGGCTCAGAGGTGGGGCCCCCTGGACCCTGCAGGGCCCATCGACGCCCCCCACCCCCAGCCTGGACCGAGCGGAGCCGGAGGCTCCTCCAGCAGAGCAAGGCCTGCTGGGGGACCCAGGACTGACCTGAAACTTGTCTCCCAGGAGTTTGTGGACGATCTCTTCCTCCTCGTTGGCCGTTTTATTACAGAACTGGGAGAAGAGTTTGATCCAGCATTCCTTATCCTTCGCCTACAGGGCAAACACACACACACGCCACAGAGCTATGTGGTCTCAGGCCAATGTGCTCACTCGGCCCAGGGCGCCACTGGCATCTGCAATGTCCTCCCCACCCCCACCCCAGGGCCCCACTGGCATCTACACTGTCCTCCCCACCCCAGGGCCCCACTGGCATCTACACTGTCCTCCCCACCCGCACCCCAGGGCCCCACTGGCACCCACACTGCCCTCCCTACCCCCACCCCAGGGCACACTACTCCTCTGATTGGCCCTCCCCCCAGCCTCACCCAGGAAGAGGATCACGCCACGCCCCAGAAACCCAGGAAAGGAGACAAGAAGCTATTGGGTGAAGGGGCTAGGCTGCAGGTGGCGGCTCTTGGGTCTGTGTGCCCATCACTCACTCTTCTTACTACCAAGCCAGTTTGAGTAAATCAAACCCCATCTCAGATACCGCTGGGGCACAATCTCCTTGTGACAAGAAGCCACACGAGCCTTCTGCTTTTCTTTGGGGGGCCCAGTAGCCGCCAGGCTCACGTCCCACATCTGGATGACCAGAAATCTTGGCCCCTCCTGCCTCTATGGGCCCTCTGCATGGAGTTGCCTCGAGTCCCCAGCCCACCCCCATCTGTCTGAATTAAAGTCATCCTGGGGGAAGAGCACAGATCTGGGCAGTTCTGGGGCAAAGAAGGTGCCAGCTCAAGGCTGTGTCCCCTGGAGGAGGGGGGAGGAGGAGGAGGAGGGAGGGGAAGGAAGGAGCTAATACTCACCTGCTTCACAGTCGCCACCATCCGGGCCATCAGCATGATGCTGGCAGTCTCAGGAGGGTAGTGGACGCTCCTGCAGGGGAAGAAACAAGCCTGGGTCAGGAACTCCTGAGAGGGGCCTGGGAATGACTTGCTACACCCCATCGTCACCCAGCAGAAATTGAGGATGGGAAGAGGAGCCAGGGATAAGGCAGGCCTTGGTAACCTTGAGGACTTCACTCTTGGGGAATGGGAAGGAACAGAAGCCTCTTGGCCCGCTGACAGGGAGATGCTGGGAGGGTCAGGGAGGATCCTGTTGGACACCCTGGATATACTCTGGAGTCCGGGAGCCGGCTGAGAAGCCTCCAGTGGACCCTCAACCTAAAGAAAGATCCAGCCCTCCGGCCTGTGCCAACGTCCTGGGCCAGCTGGGCAAAGGCTGCAGAATAGACTCAGATCCCCCAGGCCCAGGGAGGCTGCAGCAAAGGACATTCTGGGAAAGTGATTTCAAGGGAAGGAGGGAGAAGGGGAGATGGCTGGAGAGCAGTGGGGAAGCTGACCTCCAGGCCTCCTGAAGCTTGTTGAGAGGATGCTCGGGGTCATTCTGAGAAGGCCCCAGGCACAGGGCTCGGTGGTACTGCTCCAAGGCTGCCTGGCGGCACTCTGCGCTACAATATGCCACCTGCCAATAAGAGGGGAGGGTCTGTGAGGGCCCCTGGTGGGGGGACTCATCATTCATTTAAAGGTACGCAAAGAGAAAAACTAAAACAGGCCTGCCCTCAGGGGGTTTACAGTCTATGAGGGAGACAGGACAGGGGGCAGCTAGGTGGCGCAGTGGATAGAGCACTGGCCCTGAAG